CCCTGAGACTATTCTGACTGACCAAGATCAGTGATTCATTTCTTCAATGTGTTTAGTTATAAGTAACATAACAAGTTTGCACCCTCTGTGCTCTACAATAGTTTCCAATGTATTTTCAGCACATATAAATACATATATAGAATATCCTGTCAATTCTATTTATGTGTATATTTCTGGTTTGCCTTCTTTTCATGGCTAAGGAATTATGGTACTGATCATTAACTAAAATAATAAATGAAAGTTGTAATATTGCAAATACTATATTAAAAAGTTGAAAGATGTTTTACAATATTAACTTTTTTGACAGAAACTTACCATGTCTTTTGATTCATTGTGAGTTCCATTATCATGCGCCTAAAAATAATCAAAACAGCTTTACAAGCATCAACTTGTTCTTTCAAGAGCACAGGAACCTCAGTACATGGTTCCAGCAAAAAGACATTTGCAGCGTTCGTCAAAAATACCTTAAAATCAACGTTAGAAAACAGAATTAAACACATCAATCTGAACAAACTGTGCTTAAAGAGCACAGTGTTATTTCCACTGCAATGAACTGTTTTTGAGTTGTTTCAGGATTGATTATGTTTCTATATGGCAAGTGCTACAAAAAACACTTGAGAGGTTTTTTTGGTTGTGGGGATTTTTTGTTTGTTTTTTTTTTACTTCACCTCTTAGGACCATTTAAATACTGAAACAGCTCAAAAGCCTTTTAAAAAAAGCAAACCAAAACAAAACCACATAACTACTACATAATAAATATTAGAATTTTAGAAATTTCATGAAATCAAGAAATCTCTTTGGCATCTCAAGAAAAGGGGTAGTGTAGACAAGGCCAGGGTGAAAAATCAGGATCATCACCACTGCATCTTAACTGAGATGGGGAAAGACAAGATCCATGTCCCAGGACAGCCAGGAGGCCCACCCACAGGACTGTCATAGCTTTTCCAGGACAAGTATCCCTGCCAAGCAGCACTTCTGGAGCAATTTGTTATAAGAAATATATAAAGCCCTAGAACAGAGAGACAACATTTTCAGTTTTCCTATTGTTTTGTTTTCAGTTTGCTTTTAATTAGAGAAATATATTAGGCAGTAAAATACTAAACCTAAATAAATTCCAAAAAATATGATTATTTCAAAGAACATTTAGATAATCAGTTGACCTATCTCTACTCTCTGCCCTAGACCTTCATGACACAATTTCACAGTCCTCTGTAACCAGGGACATTTGAGAAGGAAAGTGGAGAAGTTGTGATCAAAACTACGCTTTCTTTCAGTTATTCTACTAAGTTACCATGTGAAGGTACTGCAGTAAAATAACCATATGCTACCATTTACACAGTTAACACTAGGCATCTATTTAGCATATCCTGAGTTCTTAATCTAGTGATATCAATGATATCAATGATATGATCTATCTGCATTATTTTTTGCTATAAAGTTGATTTTGAATCATAGCAACTTTCCAGAATTATATCTCCTAGCCAGTCTGTTGTAAATTTTGATCTAATCAAATTGTGGATTCAATTTATTATGACAAATCTTGAAATAAATGAACAATGAAACAGATAAAATACAGTCAAAGAGCAAGAGAATAAATTAAAATGTTGACTATCTCTAGTAAGACTTAGAAATCATCTTGTACAAGATTTAAAAGTTCTATTAAAAAGTTCAGATTATCTTTATTAATCACTAAGTACTATAATGTAATCGATAATATTACTTTGCAAAGAACTTCTAGTTTTTCAGTAAAAAACAAACTTTCTTAAACTATTAAAGAATATTAATGTTAATATATTTTTAAAGTATGGCAAAGAACTTTAATCTCAATATTTTCTCTCAAAAATTTTGCATATTATCAAGCAAAACAGGGTCTTCATATTTTTCCAGTTTAATTTTAGAAAAACACAAGCTGCCTGCACTACATGAATATTTCTTAATACCCTCTTTAGGGAAGAAACAAATAAAATTAATATATCCCAACCATTCTTTTCAGTGCAATTACTAAAACACAATTTGGTCATTTTGTTTCCCTAATGAACCAAGCAAAAGACCAACGTACATGATACAATGAAATCAAAGAGGCTATAAAATACAAATAAATATTTTTAAATTGTAAAGCTATAGAGACAGTTTCTGCTCACTCATCCACATAAAGGTAAGTTATCCTACCGTAAAACAAACAACACTTATGGGACCCTGGGAATAAAGTGGTAATGTCTTTCCCTTGCTAGCCCTCCCCAACAACAGGACATTGACAGTCTCCTCAAGAAAGTGCACCACTGAGAAGCACAAGGCAGGGCCTCTTCCATGGAGTTCAATAGTGGGAATGCAAGTTAACTTATGATCTGCACCAAAGTTCTCTGAAGCTGCTCAAGTAAAACCATCTCGACTTTTAAAAGTTAATTTCAAAGTATTTATTTTCAATGAAAAAACATATTAGTGTATTGTTGTTATTATGTGTCTTCAAGTGACCTGCAACTCATATTGTACTCGTATGTACAACAGCCCTATGAGCCAGTCTCACTGACTTGGACACACCTATCCTCTTTGGCCTGGCTACTCTATCAATTCATCTCATCTGGAGTCTTCTTCTCCTGTGCTGACCTTCCACTCTTCTGAGCATGATATCCTTTTCCAAGGATTGGTCCCTCCTAGTCACATGCCCAAAGTATGTGAGACGGAGCTTCAAAATCCTTGCCTGAAAGAGAAACTTGGTTTCATCCTCTCCAAGACAGACCTATTTGTTTCCTGGGTGGTACATGGTTTGTTCAAGACTTTAGCAGCACCACAACTCAAGGCATCAATTTGTCTTCTGTCATTCTTAGTCACTGTCCAGCTCTCTGATGAATAGCAAGTAATTGAGAAGACCATGGCCTGGATCAGGCAAACCTTGGTCTCTAAACTGACATCATTGCTTCTCAGTACTCTGGAGAGGTTCCAGACAACAGATTTATCTAATGCAATTAATCTTTTGATTTCCTAACTGCTAGTGCCAAAAGTGTTGATTGTGGAGCCAAAGAAGCTGAATCTGTTAATAATTTTAATCTCTTCTCCATCCATCACGGTGCAGCCAATTGGCCCAGGGTGAGAATCTTTGTCCTCTTGATGTTGAGCTTCAATCCATATTGAAGACTACAGTCCTTGGCCTGCAGCAAGCGCTTCAAGTCAGCCTCAGTTTCCGCAAGCAGGGTCACGTCACCTATATAACATAGGTTGTTGATGAATCTTCCTCCAATCCTGATGTCACAGTCCTCATAAAACTCAGCTTCCCATATGATATGTTCTGTATATAAATTGAAAAGGTATGAAGACAGAATGCATCCCTGACAAATTCCCTTCCTGATTTTGAACAATGCAGTGTTTCCCTGATATATTCTGAGGGCTGCTTCCTGGTACAAGTATTGTTGCTGCTGTTGTTGTTATGTGCTGTTGAGCCGTCCACAACTCATAGCAATCGTATGTACAACAGCCCTAAACCCTGTGCTAATATTACTGTCTCTGACACACTTACCCCCATTGCCTCAGTCACTGAATCAATCCATCTAACCCAGGGTCTTCCTCTCTAGTGCTGTTCCTCCACCCTCCCAAGCCTTATGTCCTCTCCAGGAACGGGTCCCACCTTGCAACATGTTGTCAGACAAAGCTTCAGAATATGTGCCTACAAGGAGCAGCCTGGTCTCACCCTTTCTAGGACAAAATTATTTGTTCTAGAAGTCCATGGAATATTCAGTACTCTTCTCTAGCACCACAACTCAAAAGGCATTCATTCTCCTTCTGTCATCCCTAGTCACTGTCCAGCTTTCTAATGCACAGCAAATAACTGCAAAGACTATGGCCTGGATCAGGCACACCTTAATCTCCAGACTGACATTGCTGCTCTTCAGTACTTTGGAGAAGTCTCTGACAGCAGACTTTCCCAATGCAATTCTTCTTTCAACTTCCTGGCTGCTGGTGCCAAAAGTGTTGATGGTAGAGCCAAGCAAATGGAAGCTGTTAACAATCTTTTATTAT